TCTGGGGACTTAGGGCATCTCAGCAGTGTCAAAGTGACACTCCCTCAGTCTGCCATAGTCTCCTTCCAGAGCCCTTTTTCTCTCTCTGGCATTGCTTTGAAATTTCTTTTGTTCCCTCCCTGAACCCTTAGCAGTTTTTGCAGTTGTATCTGAATCTTTAGCTGTGCCCCCCCTCCTTTAACTGTGAACCTCACATTCACAATTTAACTGTGAGAGTTTCAGTGCTGGGAGAGGTATTGCAGCATTTCCTTCTGCCAACACCTTTCTTTTTCTCACTTCTGTTGTACTTCTTGTTCTTCTGCACCCCACACAGCCTATATAATTCTCTTCCCCCTATTCCTAGTCCTTACAAGTTCTGTATTTGCTAGCTTTGAGCATTAAAGGGAAATACCATTTTGTCTGGTTTTGCCCTACAAAAGGACACCATGATCATGATTCATTTCCTGAATGAAAGTGCAGATTCAATGCCACAGGGGCATTGAAAAAATCTTTGATATTTCCCTCCCATTTTGAAGGAAATAAAGAGTGGTGTTGGCAGAGAGAAATGTGTGATTTGGTGGTCACATAATGCCCTGATCTGGTGCTTTTGCTGACACACACACTGCCAAACTGCAGCACAGCCAAAACCAGCCACACATCAGCCTCCTTCACGTCCTTGCTTCAGCCACCAGCACCTTCAGGAACTGATGCTGAATCTCCCTCCCACTTCAGTGTGTTGATATTGTGGGAAAATCCATAATATTTTCCACTGTTGCCTTTTTCCCAACCTGGAAATGAAGCAATGAAATTAAAACATGAAAAATGATGAGATAATTTTAGTAAGGAGGTAATATAAGAGCTGATCTTTATCTGAAGTCCTTCAGGGGCAGTTATGGAAAGATGTCCACAAAAGCCACCCCTACAAGGATGAGTGCATTTTATAGGTTTTGGAAAATTAGTATGACTGATAAAAAGCACCAATTAGGAAGACAAGTGATGATGCAATTCCCCCCCAGGTCAAGCCCATTCTCTGGAGCCCCCCTGCAGCACTGGTTGTCCTTTGTCCATGAGAATGTATCTCAAAGAGTTGTTCTCAGCCTTGGCTCCCAGGGAGAACCTGGGAACTTCTTCTGCCTCCCAGGGCTTGGAGCTCTGGAATTTGTTTTGTCTTTCTCCTTAGGAAAGGCCATGGAAAATTACTGGGAAAACTAGCTACTTATCCAATAAGTGTCAGAAATATAAATATATGTGCAAAGAATTACAGAGAACATGTAAAAGAGAAAAGGCAAAACCCAAATGGCTTCACCACCATCCCCTTTTTATATATTATGGCTTCCCTTAGAAAGCTTCAATATGCTTCCTGCTGAAAAACTTACAGCCAAACTTGTTGACCAATGACTAAACTTAGATCTTGTTTGTGTGCCACACAAAGCATCACTAGCAGCTGTGCAGGTACAAAACAAACAGGAAAAAGAGGAAGCTGTGTCCTAAGAGACTATGGTGGTTACAAAATCATGAACTTGGAGTAGCACAGAATGTAGAAATTGTCTACTAGGGCAAGAAAAAGGTATAGGAAATTGTAGGAAGTGTTGTGCTTGTGTGTGTGCACATTTCTGTGCAGCTGTGCCTGTTGTTTATGAGCTCATCCACTTGAAAAATAAACCCCCTAACTGAGAGCCCACCACTAATTTCATGCAGCACCAGAAGAAGACCTTGCATTCATATTTCAGTAATCAAAACTGCTCAGTCCCATGGGATTAACCCTCTTATACCTCACCTTTAACTTCCCTGTGCAGACAAGGCTTGGTCAGAGGCACTGAAATCCTGTGCTACCTGCATGAAGAGGGCACCAGCTTCAACTCTGTCCAGATAAATAAAATTTAGGAGCCAGTCTGCTCCCAGGGAATCCCAAAAAACAGCCCCAAACTGACACAGAGACGCTGCTACACTCCCAACAGGAGGACTGCTACCCTCCTCTCCAGCTGCTGTGACTTGTTACTACCTTCAGGCAATAAATTAATGTGAAGCTGGTGGCAGTAATTCATCTGTGTCACCTCTCAGGTGGGTTAGAGCCGTGCAGGACGGCTGGCCATGAAGAATGTCCTCATGAATGCTCAAAGGCATGGAAAACTTGGATGCATCTTCTCCTTAATAAATAAGCTCAGCCTGTTTCTTACATCAGCTTTGAGGAATTAATTCCAAGGTCTTGGGCTTTACTTTAAAGGCTGGATTTGAGTATAGTTAAAAGTCTTGCTAGAGATCATAAATATACACCATCATCAAGGAAATTATTCCTCTATCCTGCTGAAGGCTTTACAGGGAGAATTTGCTAAAACTGGAGCATTGAATCTCACAGGAAGAAGGAACGATCACAAACTGCATTGGTTTCATTTTCAAGTACAAAGTGCTTTTAAAAATATGAAGTTCTTACATAAACATGGGGGGAATATGAAAATAGATAAAAAACTAAACCACAGCACTTCATTGCACACGCAGTCGTTCATGGGGTGTGGATGAGGAAATAGATAAGACAGCTCTTAGTCATGTTGCTTACTGCTGTTCTGGAGGGTAATCTCATCCTATGTGAGTGAGTGCAACATAATGATGTACTTTAACTGGACCACATCATGGTATATGTGTAAAAGCCCTTGCAAATGGTATTATTTTCTTTTCTGTTGCTTGCACTTTCTGCCCAACCTTATCTGTCAAGGTTCAGATTCTGATTTTCTTCTCTCTTCTTCTTCTCTTTGTCTTTTATAAATTCCCACCTCTCCCTATGTTCAATCAACTCAAAGCCCTTGAAGTGGGAAGCACTGCTTGCTTGCCAGGTGATGGCACCAGCATTTGAGATGTCTCTTGCTGTTCAGCGGCTTTGTGAATCTCCTGGTTGGATCAGTTTATTTTTGCACCTCCAGCCATGAATACAGGTTGAAAAGAAAAGCAGCAGGCTCCCCCTTTGGTCCTACACCTAGGGAGGGACAAACCTGTTTCCCATGTTCCTGGCACGTGCAGTTTTCCTCCTGTCTCTGCTCCCTCTTCCCTCCACCCAGCTGGCACGGCCCGGAGGATGTCCTCCCCCTCAACACTCCAAGCAGGGCTGGTTGCTATCCTCACCAGCTGACATCAGTGCTAATTTCCTGTAAGTTGCCACAGAATAAAGGAGAGGCCTCTTTCTAAAAAATCTTTCCGGCTTGCTTAAAAACACTCTCTTGTCTTCTTTTCTTCCTGTGTGCAGCTTGCAGAATCAATAAGGCCCCAGCCTCTTAGCCCTGAGCAGCAGAGAAGCTATTGCTGCAAACTCAGCAGGAGGAAGAGCTGGGGCAAGCAAGGAGCCCAGAGATAATCAAAAGTGCCCTCCCATGGCTCAGGATGTTGCCAAGTGCTTGGAGCAGGACCAGAAGGCAACACACTATGACTCTTTGTCAAGCAAGGACTCATCTTCATTATCCCCACTTAATTATCTCTGAATTTCACTAATTGCACTTACCTTTACCTTACACTTACCAAAAGGGCTGGGCCAAGTGTTCCTCTATAAAATTACTGTCGAAAAACTCTGTGTATCTTCATGCAGGTGCCTGACTGTTAAAAGGGGCAAGGAGCCCCTCTTACACATCAGTGTTTAATGTGCATGATGCCATGACAGGCTGGTACAGAGACCCTGCATTCAATGAAATTATGCTCAGTATTCAGTGTAATTTCAGGCAGTCTTTATAGATTAAAAGAAAGCCTGTTTGTTTTCCCTTTTGAAAACAGACATAAAATCAGAACCCCACAAAATTCAAAACTAAAAAACAACCATTCCAAACACAAACCAAATCAACCCAAAAACCCATAGAAAAAGGGAGTCTTGTTGTTTATTACTACAGAAAGTGGGAAAGAGGGCTGGGATTTTGTTGGTTGTTGATGAAAAAAGAGAAAAATGTTAGCAGCATTTACTGATTTAGGACTTTTTTTAAGGGAACCATGTGAGGGACATACCAGCTTGGAGTGAAACTGTAAGAATCTGCCCTCGGCCAGGGCTTACCCAGAGCAAAAATTACCTCTGGGTAATTTTTTGGCTGGTGACAGAAGCCAGGGCAATACTAAAATTACAGTTTGAATGCAGAAAACTATTAATCCAGGGGTGCATTGCATCATTTGCTGGACTGTGTCATTTTCTGGACTGTGACTTTTTGCTCGGGTACACTGTAGGCTTTCAGCATGCTTAGCCCAAAAAATCATGGACATGTGCCTGAGAAAAATGTGAAAATCTGTATTGCTGCTATATTTGAAAGGCTTTTTATTGCACTTTAAAAATAGGTGAAGAGGACATATTTTGGTTTAGTGAAAAGAAGCAATAAAGATAAGAATAAATCCACTGAATCCAACGGGACCCTACATTTGTCAAATGCAGGCTTAGTTTAGGTCACAGGAAAACTGAGATGTGCAAGAGCACTGTAAATCCTCCACACGGGGGTACCAATCTGGGACTGGTTTCTTTTTCATAAACACAGACACACTCAGAATTTCCTCTTAACCTCTGACATTTGTCCCTCTCCCTTTGAGACTGGTGACCTTCTTGCCCTTTACATCATCAACTCAAAGTGGTGCAGAAAACCTGGCATGAATTCCACAGCTCCTTCAAGAGGGCTAATCCACCATTTAAGTCCCACAGGCTTAAATGCTTTTCATTACTTGACCTCTTCATAAAGATGAATTTTCCCTACAGTGAGGACAGCATCCGACAGTTGTTACTTTGTCAGTCAGAAGAAACTATAAAGCAATACACAATAAATAGAATATAAACATCAAATCAAAGAATAGAATTTGCAATTCTGTCTCACACACTATTTCCTTGGATTACTGTTTTAAATCTCAGAATTAATATTTCAGGAAGAATATGATTGCAACTACTGGAAAAAGCAAAATCTGCTCAGTGAACAGTCTGTGTTCAGCCACTGGTCTAAATCAACTCCACTGCCAAACTGGCAAGCAACAGGTGAGATATAAAATGAATAGACAATTCAGAAATGTCCAACAGATAACTAAAATTGAAATTTTATTTTTTTTTTCAATAATATTCATCAGACAATTTTCTGACAAGACTTTTCTGAAAGATGAAGTGCAAATGGGAACCCTGTAAGAATGTTTAGAAGAATTGTACATGACATTTTTAAGCGCCACCAAGTACACATTGAATACTTTGTAAGTATATAGGCATAGCAACATGCAAGTGTCATGTACCCAACATTACAATATGCATTTTGTCTGCTTAAAGTTATTGATGAGGAAATAAAATGAAATTGATGTGTCTTATCATCAGTGCAATATGTTTAATTCCCATGGATTATTTATTTATTTTTTTTTTCCCCAGGTTAGTGGTTGTATTTCTGCACCATTCAAATATATCCTTCTCAGGGCCATAAATTGCCAGTGCAAGAGAAAAGTACACCAGAGTTCCTAGGAGAATACACTTACACTGACCATGAATAGAATAAGTTGTTATAGTCCTTTCACAAATTATGTCTTATTATTTATTCTAGGAAACTGCCTGCTGAACTGAAGGCGTTTTGTAGTTATAAAATATCCAGGCTAAATGTAAAGGATGCACAAGGATTGCTTTATAATTCTTTTGAAAAAGAGCTAAATAGCAACTCAAACATGCGCATTAAGGACTCGAGCCTTGTTCTTGTGAAATCAATAGGCGTACTGTACTCAGTTTTGATGGAAGCAGGACATATATGAACCCAGTAATCCACGAGTTCACTCTCTTGGCTCACTGTTTTGGCAGAAGCAGATGACTGTAGGTTATATTTGCATATTTCTATGAAAGCTATATAGTGGTATAAGCAAATCTGCATTTGCTGGAAAAGGACAGCATGTGCAAATGCGTATTTACTAACATTAATCAATATGCATAGAAAGGAGAAAAAGAGGAAATGATAAAGAAATCAGCCCAGCAATTAAAGACTATCCTCCTCTTTATAAACAACATAAAGAGTTGATGATCATCCTTACAATCTCCTTTACAAGCTATTACTCTAAACTCCCTCCCTTTACACCTATTATAAAAACCCTTCAGTATTTCATTTTGGAACAAGACTGAGAAATTATTATGTTTAGAAGAAAATAGCATTGGTGATTTTCAGCACTATGCATAAGGGCAGGCTAAGGCTGTCTGTAGTTTGTGCTGAAACATGAGATCAGAGCCCACACATGAAACACTGCTGGCTTGACCCTGAACACAGGGAAAGTGCTAAAGTGCTGACCCCAACAGGCTTGGCTCTGCACCTGAAATCTTAAAAAAAAGGGAAGAAACAAAAACCCTTGAACTTTTCTTTAATAGTAGCACAGACTGCTCCTTTTAGAGGAGATATTTTCCTTCCTCCTTTCCAATTAGACTGTTGCTTTTAGCCCAGCAGAGAATAAATGACTGAAGACACAGAATGTGGAGGGCAGACCTACAGTAAACACAGAAGCCACGAAGAATTCTTTTTTTTTTTTTTTTTAAATTTTTTTCCCCCCATCTACCGAAAGGCTCTGGAAGCCCCTAGAACTGCAGACTCATTCAAATTGGCTTCACACCTTCTGTTTGGTTGTGAGTACATTAAACATTGCTGAAGAAAACGAACACAGCTCGGCAACAGGATGATTCCTAGATGCTGGAAGAATTCCCTTGAGGGCTGCTGGAAGCGCACGAGGCTTGGAGCATCCTGAGGATGTGGAGTGATACACAAGTGTGCTGTTCAACCATGTTTGTACCCTTATTTTCTCCTGAGTTAAAAGAAGTGCAGAGTGCTGGGTAAGATTCCTCGATAGCAAGAAGGAACTGTGCTAGCCTCTCTTCATGCCAAGTAAACAACTTTCATGCTTTTTAGAGGCTTTAGGTCCCCCCTGAAAAACCCTGTAGGAAGTCCTACTCTCAAAAGAGTTTCTACTCTGTTCTGTTGACATCAAAGGCTTCTCCATTAATTTAATTTTCTCCTGCTGTTTGCAATAGTCCTTCTCTGCTCCCCATGCATTGAGTGTTTTTAATGTAAACATGCCCTGGTGATATTATGTTTAAATAAGTAAGAGACAAGTCAGGATATCTCAACAGTGTTGATATTGCATATTTAATTCAAAAGCTTGCATGTGCTTCTTAAAGTTTCTCTTCATACGTGCATGCCTTACTAGGAAGAACTGTGTTGCAGTTGGATTGTGAATCATTATCTAGAGCTGACTAAATATTGATGTGTTATAGCAGTTTATTTTTTAGCTGTTTGGGATGAATCCCCAGCCAGCGTAAATTGTCCCACATTTAAGGCAACAGAGTGAAGCTGATTTATACCAGCTGAGGCTGTGTCCTTATGCCCTGTTAGAAAGCTAAAACTATACCAAAATGAATAAGAACAGGGCAAGAATTATGAACCCAGGCAACACTTTTTACCTTTTTTTGAAAGAAAATAATAATAATAATAATAAAGTGATTTCATTTCAAGACAAAAGCAAAGATTCAATAGTATTTAAAATGTATACAAATATCTCACAACTAGTATTTAGACTAAGAGGTAGATGTCATATTCTAGGAATAGTATGGTGTAGAATGATGCTAATGGCAGTTGCTAAATACATTTATTTGCCTGTTACACAGGACACAAAGGAGGGTGATAGCAATGGCAAGCACAAGAAGGCTTACAAAAAAAATTATTGTCTTCTTCTGCTATTCTACGTTATCTGTCTTTCGGTGCATTTCTTCTGGAAGGGCACGATGGAAAAGTGTCAAGAAGTAAAAAGATCTATAATACAAAACTTCATGTTTACAAAAAACGTTAGCTTTATCATTAAAGGCATCCTCTGTACTGTAATGGAAGCATTTTGTACTTACAATTTAAGATTACCTGGCGTTACTGAGCAAGTAGTGGAAATTCCAGGTGAGGTGATTCTGCAAAATAGGGGTCAGAAGAATGCAGCTCTCTCTCTCTCTCTCTCTTTTTCTCTGTTGTTCATGCTAAAAATACCAGGGCATATGGCAGCATATTTCAGCATCTTAACATACTAGGCTCCCTTGAGGACAGAAAAAAAGATGAAACTTGTGCTGTTGAGCCAGAAATAAGATTACAGAACAGCGTTGCCAGACAGTCAGAGTGCTGGCAGCAAAGCCATTAGAGGAGTCAGTGTCTTACTTTGCCTAAAGGTGTTTCAGTGGTATTTAATGGTGTTCCAAGAAATGGAAAGCAAAGCTGGTGAGAATGAGGAGCAGTATAAGCATTTTTTCTTTTTATAAATCAGTTGTCATTGCAAGTAGAGGAATTACACATATTGCATTAGGATATCCACCAATTGTAGATGGACCTTCCACTTTTCCCTTGTGACTGTTAGGGGTCACCCCCTGCTTGAAATAATCAAAATGCATATTATAATTACATGGTTTTCCAATATCCATACACAGCAAGTACAAGATACTTACATGTAAGTACACTGTATTTACCTATATTTTTGCATAGTTTTTAGTGTGTACTTTGTGCCACTTAATAAAAAGCATTACTCATCTTTTTTCTTTTTTTTTTGTTGGTGCTGTTTTTCTTTATTAGACAGCTTGTTCAATTAAAGTTGGAGTAGCTGGGATTTTTGGTATGTTCATCACAGATTACCAGTTCCTAGGAGTGTAGAGATTAGACATTTGGAGGAGTCTGGGTAAGCGGTGGGGGAAGCTGCAGCGTGAACATTAAAGTTTTAAATCACCTCCTTAATCAAGAAACGCAATATCAGATTCAATGGTGCTAATTTAATAAACTTACCTTTAATTCAAATGGAATTCTAAAGGTAAGAAGTCCATTTTCCTTTTGGTAACACTTTACAATAAGTGGCACTAAATTACACTAGAACTGCTATGTTACAGGGAATTACATGTAACTACACTGTAACTGTTGAGAGAGCTACTGTACATGTGCGTACATGGTAACTTCAGTGCTGTTACAATCATGAATTACATAATTACAGATGATTCTGTCCTTTCTTTTCATTGAAATAGCTATATATATATATATTTATATATATATTATACTGCAATGAAAACACACAAGATGTTAACTTTCATGTCTCACTTAGAAAAGTTGGTTTTCTTCATGTGTTCCTTTAGAGAGGGAGTCTCAGTGCAAGAAGAACCATCCTTAAGAAACTTTTTGAGATGTTCTAGCTTAAACTCTGAGCCTCAAGTTAAACATCAGGTTCCTTAAACTGTCTCTTGGTTTGTCAGATGACACTAAAAGAGTGGGATGATGCACCCCTTGTCTTCTGATGCACCGCTTTCTCGTTCAAATCATGAGAATGTTCTTGAAGCATTGGAAGAAAATAAAAAAGAAAAAAAAAAAGTCTACATAAAAAAGTTTAAAAATAATCAGCAGTCGACACTGTAAACAGTACACTGGCAGAAACTAGCTACCTGGTCTGGAGAAAACTACTCTGCAAGTGAGTGAGGGAGAGGCTGTCACATACATTTTAGTGAAGGTGGTTCCCATTCTGAGCCTCTGTTTTACACACTCGCTGGGTGCCTCACACCATCATTAAAAACTTTGTCTTTTTTTGTTTAATCCTTTTTCCAGAATGGGAACTTGGGCAAAAACAAATGCACAACTGGCTTTTAGCCAACTGAATGTCATTAGTGTTGAGCCATGATTCTGCTTACAGGAAAGAGGGATGCCTCTTTATACCCCGTGTAGTAATTTGAACCCGTGAAGACCAGATAAGCCTGCAAAGTGCTATCCAGGTAGAATGCTCTGTGTGGGGCTTTTCACACCTGCTGTGCACAGCTGCAAGGGACATCACCAGGTGCAAGACAATGGAAGATCAAATGGGTTAAAAATGAGCACATGTGAGGAGTTTTAATTGAAAGCCAATGAAAAAAAAAAACAAAAAAACAAAAAAACCAAAACAAAACCTGTTTTAACAGGACAATTTAAATCTGGTTTTTTTTTTTTTTTTTTTGCCAAGTTGAAATGCTGTTTCTGTGCCACTGGAGAATATGGTTTGAAATGGTTACCACAAGGCCAATCCTGCTTTTGGAGGTCCTGCCTGACCTTGGCTGGGTAATGGTTCAAGTAACAACCCTATATTCAAGCGGGCTGGAGTTAGGAAGGATGAAGGAAGGCGCAAACACCACGCTGGTGGGGAATTCCACTTGAGCAAATAAGGCCCTCATCCAGGGAAGCACTTTGTTTTTAAGCATGTGAACAGTGCCTTATACTCCAAGGGAACTTCTCTGACGCCTGAAGCTGACTATGTACTTAAAAGCTTATTTGAAGTGGGCCCCAGGTCCTGAAATGAAACTCTGATACTGTACTATAGCTAATGTAACTTACTGCTGTGACAAGAACCCATATTTTTGGTATTAAACTGATCGACTTCCTTTGCCAGCCTTTTACATGTTTATGTTTTGAAAGACATGAATATCTTGTAAACCTATACTAGTTTTCAATGTGTCTAGTAGCACCTACCTGGTTCTCTCAAACTACCATATTATATTAACATATTATTGCATTTTTCCACAGATGGGTATGGAGTGAACTGTAAAAACAAGCATGCAATCACATCAATGCAGACTTATTTCTTTAAAATGTCATACTGTATATGATTTATTATGTTAACACTCAACCACATCATATTATTTATGTCTGTATATTTTGAAAAAAAGTGCTGCTTTGATTGACGTCACCCTTTTTTCTTAGAAATTAACAAGATAAATGCTTCAACAAAAACAATTAAAATACTCTAATATTGTCCTTAAAAGGTTTATATTCTTCTGATAAATAATCTGTCACAGCACCTTTATCTTCCATTTTACCATACCACATGATGTCGTATTCCAAATTCTCCCTTCCCCACACAAAAATAAAATCCCAGGAGAAAGTCCTTTACAGCAGACCATCATGCTTTTATGCTTCACAAATACATCAACCAGAGAGAAATACTTCTTTGTCAAAGGTGCAAAACACAGGAGCAAAGCGAGCTCCAACTAGACTAACTTGCATTCTCCAGTGTAGAATCATTCCCAAGACCTGTTATGGCAACCTTTTCTTTTCATTGGAAGAGGAAATAAGCCAATGGGCTTACAGTGTTTTGTTGTCATATTTAAGAGCATGTGATTTTTCAGCTGTCAATTACACAAAAAAAAAAAAATTCAGAAATAATCCAAACAGAGACCTTCACTGTGGAGCTAAAAGCATGGCAGGAATTCTCTATCATTCACGGTGACATAAGTTTGTACCTCACAAAATGCATAGACAGGAATTTAATATAAAGAATTAGTCCATTTACTGTATACACAAAACATATATCTTTTGTTTTAACACTTCTATTTTTTCTTTTTTTTTTTTTTTTCCTTTTTATTTTTTTTTTTAAAGGGTTTTTTTTTTTTTTTTGGCAAACCAACATAGAGAAGCAGCTCTGGAACTGCCAAATTAAAAATTGAGAATTTTAGCAACTCAATAGTACTTTTTAAGGATAGTAATCAAATGTGGTTGTAATTTAAAACCTGAGGCTGTGCACTGGTTGTTAGCTTAAAACTACCTTTCCATATAACATTGTGCTTCCATTGTATAACAAAGAAAAAATTAACAAGAACTAGAAAAGTTTGCTGCTGAACAGTGCTAGGACATACAGACAAAAAAATACTCACACATGTTATCTACTCAGAATATTGATTTTGAGTCATATCTAAAGGGATATAATGGACATTAGAAAATGCATACTGGTGACTGACTTAGCTACTGCCAAAAAAGTTGAATATGTATCAAATAATGTTTAATTGAATTTATTATATGCACTATATACAGATACTAAAATGCCTTGCCATTGTGCCCCATGAACACATCAAATTTGAGTAGGCAGGTGAGTTCATGTTTAGCAAATAAATTATAAAAACATAAATTACTCAGAAAGTTCTCTAATCTTTATGATCCCAAAAGCCAGTAAAAGGGCAGGACAAATTGTTTCGAAAGAAGCTCTATTACCTAACTTTGCAGACTCTGTATAGCTATTCAGCATGTTTTCACCACGGAAACATGGCACTGTTATCAAGGTACCATTTAAACCATAACAAAACAAAGCCAAACAAAACAAAAAATTCACTGGACTCATCTTTTTTTTCCCACCAAATCCAAACATACAGGAAACTATACTAAACAGATTTCAATTTGTGTTTCCAAGGGCATATGCTTCAAAAACAAGTTGCTTTTTGAATTATAGATAGACAGGTATAAAAGATTCTTTGTAAACCTCTAATCTTAGACTTAACATTTTCTGTAAGTAAATTAGGACCTCACCTAATAGTACTTGTTACGAATTTTGTTCTATGACATACTAGTAGGGACATGATAAAACAAAACTGGAAAAGAAAGCTGCAATAACACTTAAATATGTAGAAAACTTGGATTAAGATGATGATTAACATTGTTAAGGCTGTATATTCAAGCACTGTATGTTAAGAGAGCAGTGGATATGATTTTTAGGCAATAAGAAATGTCCTGTTTTACGCATGATACTGTAATTATAGAATGATGATGTCAACAGCTGATTGTTGGCATAAACTGGCTACTTATAGCAGGTATGCGAGTTAATAAAGATAGCAGAAGATGGCAGAAATGAATTCTGAGAAATGATAGCCAGTTTTCTCCAGCAGTCAGCCTGATAAGTAAAACTCCAAGATTCTAGCTCTGCATCTAAATGAAGTACTCTTTTTTCTCCTCTGCATTGACTTGGCTGCCTTCTGCATTGATAATGGCTGTGTCGGCATCAGGTGCATCTTCAGCTCCTTTTGCTTCATTTGTTAAATATGTTCCTGTAGGAATCAGTACAAGAGAAAAGAAAAAAAAAAAGGAGAAAGATTAGGGTTGGTTTTTCACACTGCATTATAGGTAGTACATTTCAAGCAATGTACTTCCATTTTATAAAGAATGGAAAATATTTTTACACAGTTTTTAGTACGCATAGTAAAGTTGTGCCCAACCTTCTAATTCGTTAAGAAATATTTACACTGATATTTATACTGTTAATATATATACAAACTCTAGTATATCCATAACAAATTAAGGAAATATTTTAATAAAACTCCCCTTTATCTAACTGAAGTAATATGCAATTTATTTTTCAATTACAGAATGAGTGATAAAATCTTGGTTATTTCATGAAATAGCTATCCATCAAAAACAAAGCAATTTTGAATACAGATATTCATAAACATGCCTTTTTTTAAAAAAAATGTCCACTGGTCATTTGTATTTCTGTTTTTTCTAGATCATATCTATGTTTTAATTTTACAGAATTGTATCATAGTAGATACAAGAATTACAAAATTGAGGCAGTTTTATTAACTGAACCAACTCATATTATACGAACCAACTCATATTATACTATCACAGCTATTTTCATGCTTTGGACATGAATGAAAACAAAGAAATGTATACCATAGTCAAATTTCTTTTTGTGAAAAATCATTATTTATGCTGGCATAAAATGTACAACTGTTCATTCATGAAAGTAAAACAAAAGAGACACACTTCACTGTCTCCTTAAAAAAAAAATCTGATTTTCTCCCAGGTAGTGCAAAAAAATTGAAAATCGAAAAAAAAATTGAGAATATTTTTTTTATCAATTTATGTTTGCTACATATATGATTATCCTATCTAAAATGAGAGTTACTGAATTAATAACAGCACTCATCCTTTCTTTTTTTTTTTTTTTTTTTTTTTTTTTTTTTTGAGGGGTATGGAAGGAGACTCAACTGAGTTTTAGCAATAGACCTACAAGCTGTACAGAGGTTAAATCTCAAGGCATGTTTTTGGAACTAAGAAGGTCAAAATCAAATCACAGAGAAGCCAAAAATCAGTGTCACTCCATTCCTGTTATCTTTAGTGGCAGAGGGGACTGAAAATGGGGACTGAAAAAGAAGGGACCAGGACTACTAAGGCAAAACCACAGAATAAAGTAAAGCTAGCCTCAGGAATGAACTCCTTATTCCAGTGGGATCATTGATAAACTGATGTGAAAACTCACCACTGGTTTCTAGCATTATCTTTTAGACATATATTATCTTATAATATTAGCATAATCCATTGAAATGAAAAATCTTGTTCACTCAATGCATATGTATTCTGCTGAGTTGATATGCTAGTTAAAACTATGAGAACATGTAATCAAGTATCAGGAGTTAAGAGCCAAAACCAAGGGGCAATCTTACCCCTTGGTCTCTCTAAATCACTCACTTATAAGGTGACCTTGGGCAGGCACTAACCCCATGTCCTTTGCCTTAGCCCACTGGAAGACTGGTTAAAATTCACATTCTCACTGCACTGAGAACTATTTTTTGTTCCAATCATTTAGCAGAGGGGGAAAGGTGAAAGGGAATGGCACTCCCAGGTGAAATCATGCCTTGCTCCTAAGAGTGACTGAACTTCCACTAAACGTGTCCTACCTTTATGTCTTGCCAGGTATCGACCAAGGAGAATTATAGAACATAGTGTTACAAAGACAACTACAGCCACTATTCCTCCTATAAGAGCGTGATCAGGTCCAGTCTGTCCAGCCAAAGCATTTGGATCTAGAGGGAGAGACAAAAGAGCAAAAAGTGGTCCTAGACAGAGAAAAAAAATGACAGGAAAATTCACAATACCAAGTTTTATACTGATCATCCTGAAAACAGGCATTTCCTTCTTTAATATTCAGCATGGTTATTCCCACTTTTACTCCCAGTATCTTATCAACAACACAGTGCTGCTTGTATTCCCAGATTGTTAAAACCCTGAGGACATTGCAGTTATGAAAAATATTACCTTATTCTTCTTTGGCAGAGGTTATTAAATGGAAAAGGTTTCTAGCTTTGTCCTCGTCATTTTACAACTGAAAACCTGGCCATAGCTATTTATAGAAGGAAAAACAAGGAAGTGAGAATTGGGGATCGGATAGCATCAGCAGAATACTGTCTGCATAATACATAATTTATAGAATTGATTCTCAGTGGGGAACCCTTATATGTTCTCTTCCTCTCAGTCCTACCCTCTTGCACCAGAAATAAAAAGGCAGATAAAGTGCAGCCATGCCAAGTTCCTCTGCACATAGCTGAGTCTGCATGGATTTGGTCAGATAAAGGTATCAGGCAACCTGAAACTCATCATTCAGACACAGGCATCAGTTTCTGAATTCACTACAAACGCTCAATTAACACCCAGTGTGAGCAAGCTGTAATAGATATCACAGAATCACAGAGTCAGCTGGGATGGAAAAGACCTTTGAGATCATCAAGCCTAACCAAAGAAGTAACACCACCTTGTAACCGGTCCATGGCACTGAGTGCCACATCCAGTCGCTTTTAAACACCTCCAGGGATGGTGACTCCACCACCTCCCTGGCCAGCCCATCCCAATGCTAAATCACTCTTTCTGTGACTAACTTCTTCCCAATGTCCAACTCAAACCTCCTCTGGCACAGCTTGCACTTTGGTGTTGTTAAACCCCATGCTGTTGTATCCAGCCCATCGATCCAGCCTGTCCAGGTCCCTCTGCAGAGCCCTCCTACCCTCCAACAGATCAACACCCCCTCCCAACTTGGTGTCATCTGCACGTTTGCTAATGGCAGAGTGAATCAGCAGGTTCCTTTTTCCAGCTCTGTGCAGAGCACTGGGAATAGTGTCAGATTCAAGTGTTCTGTGCTGGTCATCTTCCTGCTCTGTAGCCCAGTGCATCACAGAATTTGCAAGGAAACAATCATGGGAAATGGCACTACTTTGGGGTGTGTAATTCTCCAGAGCTTTTAACAACCAGCCAGTAACCTGTGACTGTTGACTCAACAGATAAATACAGAAGAAGGTAAAATTTTAATCTGAGGATCATGACATGGATCCTATTATAATGAAAACGCCTCTGCTATGAAGTAATAGTAATTCTCTGAAGATGTTATTAGCATGTACTGTATGCTGCAATCATTCCACTCTCACCGCTTCAAGGGCAATTCCCTTGTAGAAGCCGTTTATATTCTTCAAATAGTTTGCAAACAACTTCTTTGCTTTGCAAAAGGGAAAGGCAGGAAAAATATTTGCACAGAAAAGAGGGAAAGTCTGTGAAGATGACAGAAAGGCCTCTGATAATGCTGAGGAGGTGTGATTCCGTAATAGCGCAATGACATTCTGCTGGCCAGGATTGCTATACGGCAGCAAGATGTATGGATACATCTGGTGTGGGAGTCTCAGGAGGTGTGACAAGGCCAAGTGCTGGTGCTGCACCCAGGGCAGGGCAAATCCTGCTCTCAGTCCTGGTGGGGGGATGAACAGATCCAGAGCAGTCAGGCTGAGAAGGACTTGGGGGTGCTGGTGGGTGAGAGGCTGGACGTGAGCTAACCTTGTGCTCTTGCAGCCCAGAAGGCCAAATGCGTCCTGGGCTGCATCAAAAGCACCGTGGGCAGCAGCCAAGGGAGGGGATTCTGTCCCTCTGAGCCACTCCTCTGAGACCCCATCTGGACAGATGCATCCAGTTCTGGGGTTTCCAGCACAGGAAGGACATGTATCTGCTGGAGTGAATCCAGAGGAGGCCACCAAGTTGATGTGAGGACTGGGGCACCTCTCCTATGAGGAAAGGCTGAGAGGATTGGGATTGTTCAGCCTAGAGAAGACATGGCCTTTGGGTGACCTAATTGTGGCCTTCCAGTACCTGAAGGGAACCTGCAAGAAAGATGGAGATTATTTACAAGGGTAAGTAGTGATAGGACAAGGGGAAATAGCTTCAGACTAAGAGTAGGTTTAGAGTAGACTTTAGAAGAAATTTTTCACTGTGGGGACGGTGAGGCCCTGGCACAGGTTGCCCAGAGAAGGTGTGGCTGACCCATTTCTGGAAGTGTTCAAGTCGAGGATGGATGGAACTCTGAGCAACCTGGCCTAGTGGAAGGTGTCCCTGCCCATGGAACTAGATGATCTTTAAGATCCCATCCAACTCAAGCCATTCTCTGATTCCAAGATCTATAAATGCACACGTATATAAATGCAATGTTCCATGGATAAAAGAAAATAATCCTGTTTTCCCTTCCTTATGCTAACTGTGAAGCATTCTGCAACTCCATTTTCAGGCTTGCTGGAGCACAGAGTGGTGTGGCCATGGGTACAGATTCAGTTCTGCTCTTAACACTTTGTCACTTATTGCTGGCCTTCCGAGCTCCCACACCTTTCTCTTCTGGCTGAGAAAGACTCACGAGGACTTTGGGGAAGCTGGTCATAGCACTTCTGTGGACATGATGGCAAATAATGGGTATTTGACCTCAAAAAATCTAGAAACATCTTATAAAGCCTCCTACATCCTCTTCCACCTCCACTTCCTCCTGGCATGGTGCTGCTGGTGGTGGCACCACACTGAGTTCACATCACCTGTCCAGCAGGACACAGGCTCCGTTTTGGTCATTAAATCTGACCCCAAATCCTGTGCACCAGCAGACTCACAGGGGAAAGCAAGAGTGCTGAAGCACTGCCTTCCCAAAGCAAGAGATTGGAGCACTCAGCCTTCTTCTCCCTGGCCTTGTAGGGGCTTTGCTTTCCGAGCAGAGCAAGGAGGAGGTGGCTGCTGGCTTGAGAAGATGGAAGGTGACAGCTTGCTGCAGGAATGTCAGCCTGCTTGAGCCATATAGAAAATTCCTCCTTTTGTGGTGCCTGTGGCAATGTTGAGTAAAGCTCCTCCCTGCAGCAAAAGGGTAGGAGCCATTTGGACTCTGAGGACCACCCGTGTCCCCAAGCCCTGTGTGTGACCTGCAGGAGATGCTCTTTGGCAGCACTGGGACAGGAGCAGCATGGATGTGTTTTCCCACTAAAAACTGGCTCCTGTTGGTATGCTGCCAGTAACACTGAAGAATAAAAGGAGATCTTTTAAGGGATAATATACTTCCTGATGCAGAGCATAATCCAGAGGAGGGTTAGCGCAGAACTTTATCTACAGGCATTTTTGCAAAGCTGATTGAAGTGCACAGCCTCAGCTCAATACCCAGACTTACAACGCATGTCCTCTGTGAGCTTTAATAAACATTTCAGATAAAAATCCTCACAATACACCAAGATAAACACGTCTCTGTGTTTTTATCCTCTGGTGATTTCCAACACAGAGTGAGTGACTCACTACTCCTCTGTCAAACCTGATGTGGCTTCACGAAGTGACCCAAAGCCAGCCTAAATACAAGGTTTCCACCTATTAATGAGTTTCTAATACTGCTATAGGCTGAGTTTTTTAAACATTAAAATTAATGTAGGTATTCACTGGAATGCAAAAGTAGCAGCATATTTTTTTCTCTAATCTCAACCTTGCTATCAAAGCCACATTATATTTGTTGGTATTGATAGAGAAGTTTGTCCAAAAAAAAATAAATTATATATGACCTATTATCATTTTATTATCAGAGAACAATTCCTTTGTTAAAAAGGAAAAAGGAAAGGAAGGAGAAAGGAAAAGATGGAAGCACAGGAAATAAAGATTCTTAAAAGTGGCCAACATTTTCCTGGGAAACAAGCCTTTTTCCATCTCAAAATGGAAATCTGTAGAACATAAACAATATTCTGACCAGGAAACATATCTCATGAATAGTCTCCTCATAGAAAAATAATGCTAGCATTAAATATAAACATGCTCTACATTATGCATACAGAGTAATGCACTATACTTTTGCCTTTCATTAAATAATCCAAGCCCAAATGAATTATAGATCTGGGGCTTTCTATCGTGGTATAAATAATTACTATTTCAAAATGTGCCCAAGCAGTATCTGAAAGATAGAAATACAGGGATTTGGAAACTATGCTTTTTTGTATTTTAATGAAGTACACAGTGAACATGCATAATCATTCAAGTGTTTTGGGCACAAGTACTAGTAACTGTCATTAACGTTCCTGAAACCACTGAACACTCCACAAAAAGCAGAATACTATTCAGATTATTTCGAGATTCACATTTTAAGCTTCATGGATTTTACCAAGTGAATCCTACCCTGCCATACACACAACTCCAGCAAATGAAATCTTAGGTATGCAACTGTGCAAGAAAAACTTATAATTCAGCTGTTTCCATTAAAAAAAATAATAAAAAATTAGATTACACTGTTACTGTTTTAATACATACTGGTTTTTACTTCATGAGCACAGGCAGCTAAGGTAGTCATGGCCTGAAACAGTGGAATTATAATTTTGCATCTTCAGAGATCTTCAGAGATCAGTTCTTTTTCTTGCTTCTTTCACCCTTTGATGAAACTAAGAAAATCTTAAAAAACATAACGACACAAAACCTTATAATTCTCTTTTATTTGCTCTTTTTTTTCCCTAAATTTAAAAAGCTTCTTCAAAATACTAATTGCCAATGCTGTGAAAATGTACCCATTTTCAACTCTTGGGATTTCCCTGTTACTGTTTGTTCACAGACTGTCAATACACTTAAATTAAATAACACACATTTAAATTAAATATCACTTAAAATGACTAAGAGGGAAAAAAGCGCTTCATTTTTTTAAGAGATGAAACACATCAGATAAACCCTAGGGCTAATAAATAAGTAGATATGTGCTTTTTATGACCTGCTGACAAAG